CAGCCCATCCGTCTCCTCTCATCACGGCTCCCGCTTTGTGAGATTCGGATAATGGTGCCCACTTGCAGAGCTCTTAGGGCTATATAGGACAGTGGGCTGAGAGTATCTAGCAGGATGCCTGGCATAAAAGTAAATGCACAATTAAGTCAAAGTCGCTATTGCTGTTTTAGAATTGGCTGTGACCTGAGAAAGACACAGGATTAGAAAAATAAAAGTAAGTTGGTGGTATTTTAAAATCAAACCAACCATATATTAAAGGAGTTTGAGGAAAGAGGATACAGACCAACGGAAGACACTTATTTATAGCAGCATGCCCTTTAAATATATCTCCCTCGCTCCTTACCTGACAAAGCCAGATTCCAACAAAAAGCTCTTTTTGACTAAAATATTTTTCAAGTTTTCTCTAACAAGACTTTTTTGGGGGAAAAAACTTTTCTAAATTTTTTGCTAACTCTTATTTAGATCTTTTAAATTCCCAGATTAAATGTCGCCTCTTGAAAGAGGCATCTGTGATGTTTCAAACTAGGGCTCAACCAACTTTTCCTATAAAGGACCAGAGAATAAACATTTTACTTGTAAAATGTCTAGTATAGCCCTGGCTGGTGTGGCTCAGTGGATTGAGCACTGGCCTGTGAACCAAGGGGTCACCGGTTCGGTTCCCAGTCAGGGCACATGCCTGGGCTGCGGGCCAGGTTCCCCAGTGGGGGATCCTTGAGAGGCAACTGCACATGGATGTTTCTCTCCCTCTCTTTTTCCCTTCCTTCCCCTCTGACTGAAAATAAATAAATACAATCCTTTTTAAAATGTCTAGTATAACATGGATGCAAGGTAAGAGTTCCTCAAATTATAGCTCCTGCTGGTGGTAGTGTAACCATTACATTTGGCTCTAAGGGAAGGTGACAGAGGCCGGACCAGGCCCGGGAAAGTGGCTGACTCTCCAGCATCACCTCCTTTCGTTTCTGTGAAGAATTAACATGCGAGGAAACAAACCTTCCGACCTCGGTGCTATACAGTGGCCCACGGTGAACGCGAGTGCCAAGGAGAGGCAACACGGGGCACGGGAGAAGCGTCAGGAACTGCAGCTTGGCGTGTGTTTCTTAAGGTTTCTGAGCAGACAGTCCCCCTGTCACACACCCTGGGGGTCAGCACGCTGACCATCTCACGGGGTCACTTAAAGATCAAATGAGAGCCTCCGAGACAACCACTGAAAACCTGTTATGCGCCGTGCAGATGTAAGCAAGACTTTTGGGTACAATTCCCTTTTTTTTTTTCCCATACTGGTCAAAATGTGTGCCAGTATCCCCGCCACCTTCACGAAGACAAAAAGGAAGCTGTTTGGGGAGAGCTCCTTCACAGCACAATAAGCCAAAACCCTGACATCTCAGCTGCTCAGACTGACCCAGGGTTTCTGTGCAAACCACCTACTTCTCTACCTGGCTGCACAACAGAATCACCGGGGAGCTATTTAAAAAATGCCTGTGGCCACACCTCCCTTAATTATTCAGGCTTAATTACTCGAGAGCAGGGTGTGTGTGTGTGTGTGTGTGTGTGTGTGTGTAACAGCTCCTCAATGCTGTAATGGGCAGGCAGGGTTGAGAACACTCATCTAAAGCAATGGTTCCACATAGAGGTCATTCTGTGCCCTCGAGGACATTAGCCAATACCCGGAGACATTTTTGGTGTCATAACTGGGAGCTGGATGCTACAGGCATCCAGTGGGAGGCCAGGAAGGCTGCCAAATACCCAACAACAAACAGAACAGGGACCCCAGAGCAAAGAATTATGCAGACCAAAATGTCATTAGTGCATGCTGTTGAGAGAGGCCACATGGAGGACTGGTGTGAAAGAAACTCAGCAGCCCTGATTGGTGTAGCTCTGTTGGTTGGCCTTCATCCCGCAAAGCAAAAGGTCATGGGTTCAATTCCCGGTCAGGGAATAAGCCTGGGTTGCTGGCTTGGTCCCCCGTTGGGGTGTGTGCAAGAGGCAGCTGATCGATGTTTCTCTCACATCAATGTCTTTCTCCCTCTCTTCCTCCTCCCTCACCCTCTCTCTAAAAATAAACAAAATCTCTTTTTTAAGTTAAAAAGAAAGTGAATAGCTGACTGTACTGTAGGAAATGGCTCAGCAATATCTCTGGTTCCACCGGCTCTCCAGAACCTTGTCACTCCCCCATCAAGGCATGGAGTCTATTTCCCTCTCCCTGGAATGCGGAAGGTGTTTATGACAGCCTCAACGAATGGAATGTACAGGAAACGACACTCCTGATGTATTTACTGAGCACATATTTTGTGCCCGGCCCTGGACCACCGAGGGGCCCCTCCGCTCAGGAACTGACACTGTGAATTCAAAGCTAAAGGAAAAGTGGCTCATAAATCAGAGGTTCTGCCCTGATGCTCACCTCGAATTTGCATGTGAAACAATGGAAGAATAATCTTTTGTGACAGCAGAGTAACACATCCATCTCGGAGCAACTATGCAAATTCAACTCACAATGGATTCTAATGAACCCACCCAGCTGACATCCTCAGTGTCTTCCACAGACTCCGGTCCCCGGGGTCCCCTGTTAGGTTCTAAATCACTCTCTGAAGCATAGAACTCCCTGTGCCTTCCCACTGCAAATGGTAAGAAAAACTAACAGCCAATAAAATATACTCCAAGTGGCGAGACCCTTCCAGGAAATCAAAATTTTGAATGCAAAAATGGAACTCTCACCTGCAAGTGGTTTGTCCTTCCTTTGGTCAGCATAAAAACAGGACTAGCCCCCCAGTTCTAGCCTAAGAAGTATTCTTACAACTATGGGAAGATGTTGGTATTAATTTGCTAAATACAGGCAGAGGATAAAATGAGACTCAAATCCTCTAACCACCACGGTGACTGTGAAGGCTACATGAGAAATGCTGGCCTCATGACACCCTTCAATCATCCACTTCCCCGATCCACTTAGACATTCATTTTGTTGACTACAAGTGGGGCCCCAGTAGTGCACAGAAGTCTATCTTTGCTCAGATGGCCTGCCTCTCCATCTTGGGCCAAGACATCTTCCTGGCAAACGCTGAAAGCAAAATCACACAGATGTGGGCTGTCCAGATTAAGACCGTGTTCCCTTAACTCACAGCATTTGCCCTGGGAGACAGTAGAAGCATCAACCAAGCCGCTGCTCTGTTAACGAGGCTGTCGGGCACCAGGGTGGCAGGGAGACCGAGAGGGCGTGAAATTGTTACTGACATTGCCAAGTGGGACCAACAGGGACCCAGGGTTTCAGTGAGAAGACCACAAAACAAAGGAACATCTTGGGAGTGCTTAGATCACTGGGAACAGTTTGTTTCGCATTGGGTTTTGGGGTTTGTTTGGTTCCGGGTCCTTTCAAAAACATCTATTCAAACTTAAAGTCACCTGGCAGAATTTTTTTCAATAATAATTTAAAAACTCTAGTACAGTTCTGCGGAGTTTAAAATCTCTGAGTAACAGCTTTGCTTCTGAAGTCATTGCTTCTGTTTGTGTATACACGGTCTCTTTTGTTTTTTCCTACCAGTGGTATCGACACAGTTCTAATCATTTTAAATGGTCCTTATAGTTAAGTAGGAATGGATAAAACCATTTTTAACTCCCCCCCAGGATAATTCTTAATGCAGATTTTTAAATGTTTCCATCCCAATTTTATTTATACTGACTCACATACTATAGCCTATAGGCTAAATCCTGCCCATGGCCTTTCTCTGTAAAAAAGTATTATTAGAACACAGTGATGCCCATTTGTTTACATATTGTCTATGGCTGCTTTTGTGCTACAGAAGCAGAGCTGATTAGTGGTGACAGAGACCATCTGGACCCACAAAGCCTAAAATATTTACTATCTGAGCCTTTGGAAACAATGATTGCCAGCCCTTGCTGGAAAGCAAGCACTGGGGGCCAGAATAGCACAAGGTATTTCATAGTGTGTATCCCTACAGTAATTAAATAAGTCTCTGTGTTAATACCTGTTTGCCCTGCTAGAGATACCTTCTTTGAGAGCAAAGGACTTTATCTAGTTCATTATTTTCTCCCCAGGGGCTAAACACAGAGACTAGCACAGAGGATACAAGTAACAAATATTTGTTGAATGAATAAGCTAAGTTGCTAGATAGACTTGGAGGTGCTGAGGGCCATTAAGTATGTTTACGTCTTGAGTCGGAACCTGACTCACAGGAAGTTCTCAGTAACTGTAGATTTGCTAAACAATCAAATGCACAGACTCTACATGCAGAGAATGGATGTGTTTTGCAGGAAAATTAATGACCAAGACAAATCCTTGTCTATGTTATAATGAATCTCTTCCGTGCCACGCTATTGGTGCCGATCCTTTCTCTAACTTCACAAAATCCTCTCTGCTTCAAGCCCTGATAACTGACACTTGGCTATGAGGGTGCTAGTCTCATCACTGGTTTGCAGAGCTGGTCCTCCCCCCTGCAGAATCCATCTGTGCTTCACGACGTGGTTCCCAAAAGTCTGCAGGGGCTCCGTGGGTGTGCTCAGCCTGGCATTCATCCCCAAGACACGGGCATTCGGCCCACAAACACTTATACACGAGACAAACCAGGGACAGATCAGATTCTGGAAGGACACAGAGAGAAGTACCAAGTGGAAGAGACCCCTGGCCTGCCACTCACAAAACGTATCTGTCACTTGGATATGGAAGATGGTTTAATAGGAAGAAGAGAGAAGTCAGACTCTCAAGGAGGCCACAAGATTTGGAAAAAGAACTACGAGCTTGAGAGTCAGACAGACCTGAGTAGAAATCCAAGCTCTGATACTCACCAACTATGTAAACTTGAGCCAATGAATTAATTTCTCTAAGATTAAAAACACCTTAAAGGCAAACTGTGTGTAAAATGATAATGTTGAAGGGGAATTGTGATAGATTTAAGGGGCCTAACAGTGACAGGTGCTATATCATTGTACTGCTCTTTCCCTTTCATATCTCACTGCCACGCAGAGAATGCTCTTTGGAAATTTCCACTTACCAAGCATTCCTTTCTTGGAACTGGACAGACACATGTCCTTCTCTGCACTCGGCAGGGCAAAGCTCACCACAAACACCTCCACCCCATCAGCCATCAGGGCCAAACCCAAGATGAAAAAGAGGGTCCACTGGAAGCGCCCGTGGCCACACTCATCAATGATGGTCTCGTACTGGTGAGCCAGCTGCTCCTCGTCTTCCATCCTTTCGGCCATCAGGTCTGCCCGGCCCCGCAGGCCGTCTGCCCTGGAGGGTGCCATCTTGGTCTTCTTGACCTTGACATCATCTGGGTGAGGGATGCCCTGGTACTCGCCCTCGTAGATCTCATCCTCCTCATCATGGCCTTCGGTGACATCACTCTGCGCATCCTCTTCTGGGTTGGACTCATTGCCACGATAATAGCCGTCGTTGTGGGCATAGCCCTCGTAGTTGTCCTGGTATTTGTAGTCATCCATTCCTTAGTGCCGGACTGCCTGGCTGCCTCTTGAGCTATATCTTGCACACTGTGGTACCGGTTCGGGCTGTTTCAATAACCATCATCCATTTTCTGTGCAGATGTTTAAATGTGGAACTTGTTTGTGTGACTTCTTGGATAGAAGTGACTGACACCTGTGTTTTCTCCCAGTGTCTCTCAAACAGAGCAGAGTTGTGTGAAGGCAACTGAAGAATCCTTTTGCTGTCCGTGTGTATTGGGAATCTTTGGAAAATTTAGAATTCTGCTCTAGTCTCCTTCAGTGACCCAGAGATCTTATGTTGGGAGATGTTGATGAGAAACGGGTCCAGCTGGGTTCCTTGACAAGGCGCCGGCAGGACGCGACAGCTTGCTGGCTGGCCCGACTTGTTCTGTTACCGAAGGTTATGCCCTGGGGGTACAGAGAAGGGAGCGAGAGGAGGATTACAAACTAACAAAATCCCAGCAAACACTCTGAGAATTAAACAAATATATTTACCAATGCCAGCACTTTGTGTGCAAGGTGTAGGAAACCTTGATGAGACATTTGGATTTGTAGTGAATGAGTGAGGCTTGAGTCGGTGAGACAAAGAATAAGGGGAGAGAGAAGAGGGTCAGAGAGGTCTTTGAAGTACTGATTTACCCATAAAAGGAGTCAAGTCTTACCCAAGAATAAAACAAAGAGCGGGCAAAGGATTTTCAGTGCAAGATAATTCTGTGTTGCAGATTTTCTGTTAAAATTTTTCAAGCTTTTGGCAACAATTTAGGTTTACCACAGCTCAGCTTCTGTTAGGAAAATGCCAGCTTTTCTGACTCTGTTATAAAGGGGATGGACAATTTTACATCTAGAAATGGGTGGCAAAGAAATATCCAGGACCATCTTTCCCAGGGCCCACCTTACATTTAAAACTCAGCCTTGTGTTTTGAGGATCACTGTGACCTTGTACTTGGGCTTAAATAGGCAGGACCCATTGCTGAAGACCCAGAGCCAGAGAGCTTGGGTCTGAAACTTGATTCTGCCACATAATTGCTGTGTCTTTCTGAGCCTCACTTTTCTCATCTCTGTAACAGAGATAACAATAGTACTTAACTCCTAAAGTTGTGCATAAAAGTGCTGGAACAGTGCTAGACCTGCATGATAAATGCTATTTAAACTTTATCATTGTGGTTTCTCCTTATATTTCTACTTCCAATTCTGGAAATCAGAACCCAGTGTTGTCAGAGCCAAGACCCTGCATCCCAATTCTAATCATTGGGTTCTCCCTGTCGACTCCTGTGTGTCCAGTGGCCAGGCACACCTTGCCCTAAACACCTTCCCAGAACCCAGTTCTCACTAGGTTTGGAGCCACCAATTAATATTGACGACTGTGCTGAGTGTGTCTCATCTCTTATCCCTAATTCTCACAACACGCAGAAGGAGAAGAAAAATGTATTTGCATCTTTTATCTTACAGACAAAGAAACTGTGGTTCAGACTGAATTAAGTCAAGGCCACAGAGCTAAGTCAAGGCCACAGAGCTAAGTCCAGTGATCCCAAAGTCAGTTTTCTCCATAGCCCCAGTGCTTCCCAAATGCTGTTCCAAGGTACTGTCACTTTAGATTACCCGGGGAGCATGCAGAAGGGCTGGTTCAAGCTCAGAAATCCGAGTTTTCCCACAGTTCCCCAAGAGGCCATGAGGCCCAGCCGCAGTCCCCCAGGAGTGGAGGCCAGGCCCCTCCTACCTCCCTTGCCCTCCTCCCACTCTCCCTGCTGCCAGACCCTCGGACACAGGTGGATGCTCAGACCTCTTCTTTGGAGCTGCCGGAAACCCAATCCCCAGCAAAATCCACCTGCCAAAGTGTACATATGCCATCAACCTTTACAGGTCCCCCTGTCAGACCTCAAACCCGCCCTGTCATTTCATCAAGCTCGGCAGATGTCACCTCACAACAAGACTGAACACACTTGTCCTTGATGTGGCCGCTGGACTCCTCCCCCTTGCCCCCAGCACATCCCTGGGTCCCTGCCCCACACCTGCCTGCCTGGCCCTGCTCACCCTCAGTCCTGAAGAGATTCCAGTTCAGGCGATCACAATGCATTTGTGAATTCAAATAACACAACACATTTCTTTTGGTGATATGCCCAAGATCAATGGCCCTCCAATGCAAAGTGGGCCAGAACCACTCAGGATATTGGGAGAACTCGTTAGAAATGCAAATCCTTCCCCCCACCCCTGGCCCCAAAGACTCTGAATCTACAAAGTAGGTCTAGGACATGGAAATCTGCATTTACCAAAAACACTGCGGGGAATCCAGCAGACTGCACTGTGAGAAACTGCTGTGAGAGCGAGCAAGAAATACTAAGAACTGACTCCCACTTTATCCTTTTCAATTTTCCATCACCCCCAGTAAATAAATTGTGTTTGACCATGCTGGCCCAGGCCACGTCAGATTAATATTCTAAATCTGTTTTTATTATATCCACTTAGGGACCACAGGAGGAATATAAATCACATGTAAACGGCATGAGAGTTTTGCAGAGAGCTATAAAAAATGGAGAAAGAATGCCAGCTGCCAGAGAACTGGTGTGTTATTTCCATTCGGGGGGCTCTGCGAAAATGTCATGAACCTGAATTAGGAGAGTTGCGGTTCCAAAGGCACATGAGGGAAATACCACACAGGGCAAAGGTCCTGGGGACTCGCTCTACAGGAAGAAGCTGATCTTCCTCAAAACTGACACCACTCACCTGCTCCAGTTAAAGACATAGCTGTGAATGTCAGGTGCAGTGGAGGAAGAAGGAATTTCTGCTCTATGTCATTGTTATCCTTTCTCTTTCATTGAGAAATGCCAAGTTATATTCTCAGCATTTTCTAGAGCACACAATGATTAATCATTTTCAGTGTTATGAGTTACATTGTGACCACCCCAGGAAGACAAGTTGAAGCCCCTACCCCCAGAAACTCAGCATGGGAACTTATTTAGATATGGGGTCTTGATAGAGGTAATCCAGTTAAGTGAGGTCATGAGGGTGGGCTGTAATCCAAGATGGCTGGTGCCCTTCTAAAAAGGGGAAATTGAAAAGCAGAGACAGACACTAATATAGAGGGGAGATGACGGGAAGACACAGGGAGAACACTATCTACAAGCCAAGGAATGCCTGAGGCTACCAGAAGCTATGAGAGAGGCATGGAAACGATTTTCCCCCACAGCCCTCAATAGGAACCAGCCCTACTGACATATAGATTTTAGATCGTTAGCCTTCAAAACTATAGAGACGATACATTTCTGTTGTTTAAGCCACTCAATTTGTAGTATGTTGTTATGGCAGCCCCAGAAAACTAATACATTCAACAACATCGAGAACCCTAGAACTTATCAACCAAAGAGCAATAATGACACATCCAGAAGCTTAACTACTCACTGAGTACTGAGGTGAGCATTTGACAAGCAGTACCTTATGTATTCTCATAGCCAATAGTGCAGCAAGGCTATTCTTCCCATTTCACAGATGAAGAAACTGAGGGCTAAGATGACTCAAGAATGTGCTCAAATTATACAGAGAATTAATCTTAGGGTTTGATTTGAAGCCAAGTTCAAGAAACAAAAAATTAGGGGTGATGTACGGTGAAAGAGTCCCAATCTCCCAATCTCTCTTGTCCTTGAGCCAAGTCAAGGTCACAAGCTGAGTTCCTGAAGAGCTAAGATTGACATTGAGGTTCTGACTCCCAGGTCACTGTTCACCCAACCTCAACAAACATTCCCAGGACCATTGGTGATGGAGGCATTGTAACAGACACGACATGGCTTGATCTCCCTTCTCAAGAGGGCTACCTCTCATGAGACAGTAAAACAATACAAAGCATCAAGCAGTAATAAAAAAAGACAATCTTAATCATTAATAATGTTATCTTTAATTCATTGACTACTTGCCTTGTGGCTTGGTTCCAGGCCCTATACCAAGTTTATCATGTGCTTTACATCTTTTAACCTGGACAACAGCCCTGGCTGACCCCAGGTTCAAGTGCTGACTCCACAACTTCCTACTACCTGTGTACAAGCTATGGACCCCTTCGGGCCTCAGTTTCCTCATCTGTAAAATGATTATAACAGTACCCACATTGTAAGGTCATTGTGAGGATTCGGTGTGATAATCCATGAAAAGTGCTTACAGCACAGTGCCTGGCACAGGCATGATCAGTACAAATTTGTACTTATTATCATGTTTCTTGTTGGCATTAGTATTATTAGCTGAATGAGTGTTGATTGGTAAAATGTAGCCAGGATCTCAGCTTGAGCCCAAACTTTCTCTGCTTGAGACTTGCGGCCCATCCGGGCTGGGCTGGGGAATCAAGTACAGAGAAAAACAAACTGACATTTAGTTACACGTGAAAACAACTGCCTTTCAAAAATGTTCTAGTGCTAATCTGTTAAGCATTCTCCTCTCTTACATCCTATTAACCTCTGAATCTATGCTATTCATTTCAAAACCACGGTGTGGTAAATACTTGTTCCTGATTAAATATCACAGAGAACAAAGCTAAAAATAATGTTATCATTCAATGATGTAATGCTTCCCAAAAATCTGTTCTGTAAAACAGTAGACCTTTAACAGGCTCACTTAATGGGGGGAAAAAAAGAATTCCAAGTTCAGGAAACCTTGGATACTCCATTGCCCATCCTCTATTGGAGATTTATAATGCACGTTGCTATAGTGAAGACCGTGAGGAGAGCTGAATAAAACCTACTTCACACCACAATGAGCTACCACAACACACCCGTCTGAATGGCTGCAAAAGAAAGTCAGACAACAGTTATGATGTGAAGAACCAGGACTCTCAGACGTTGCTGTTAGGAAGGAAAAATGGTTCAGCCACTTTGGAAAACAGTTTGGCAGTTTCTTAAAATGCTAAACGTATTGCAAGAGCAACATTTACAAACTGATTAGCCATTGTTTGGCAACTGGATAATTTTTAGATGTTTAGAATTGCTCTGAGCGACCCCATGGCACTGTGCACATGTCTCCATTATCACTTTATATTGTAATTATGTAGGTGTCTCTCTGCCAGGGGATTCCAGCAACTTCAGGATAGCTAAAACAGGGGATTTTTGCTTATTTTTGAATTCCCAGCACCAAACACAGAGTCTTTCAATACAGCAGGTCTGTGAAAATGTTTGCCCAATAAAAGAGGTTAACGGTTATTCAGTGCCTGGCCAAAAGTCAGTCAGAAATGGCCTAGGAGCCAGACCTCCCCTGCCCATGCTGTGTGTAGGCCAACCGGTTTACTGTTGCTTTAAAAGCCTGGTCAGGTGACATCCTGAAGATGCCACCGTTCACGAGGAGCCCTTCCCTCTCCCTCCTCACTGGCCTTCTTTGAACATCAAGCTCCCAACTGAGATTGTCCGGTCTGAGGTTTCTAAGGACTGCTTGAGTTA